TCGGTTTAGCTGTTTAGGAGGAGTTCAGTGACAAACACACGTACAGAAGAAATATATATATATATACATATATAAAGATTTGACAATCACTTAAGTATACCCTTATGTGTAACAAACACTACACAGTTCATCTCTTCAAAATATGTACACACTAATAATATAAAAATAACAAAAAGGAAAAAAGGAAGAAAAATAAAAATACCTATTTAAACTAAAATCAAAAGTTCGGGATCCGAATTTAACAAAATCGCTCGTGAGAGTGCCTCTGAACTTAGAAGAATTTAAGTTAAGAGATATACATTATGCCAAAAGTCTGTAGTGTTAACATAGCTGGATATATTTTTCGAATTTTCTAGAATCCCTACAATATGATCAAACAAACAAAAGTATACTTTTCAAACTATTATCGGTATCTGACAACCCTACTTACGTTTACTTTTTGTGGCTGCGGTTGCGCAGATGCTGTTCCGAAGTGAAGCTACAATACGTATCGGAATGTGCGAACCTGCATTCTTAGCATACAAGTATTGGCTGTTGTTTGTTCGAGACTAATTTTGTACTCAACGCCATTATTGAGGGGAGAAAAGTTGATCCGAAAACCGAAAATCACTAACGAAGGAATGTTGAGTTTTTGGAACGAAGTTCCTTACGGCAGGCTTGGAGGAGGTAGGGATTTTGCTGCGCGACCGAACTGAAAAAAATGTGATAGTAAAAACCGTAAGAAAAAGTCCGTGGAATAAGGCCTTGTTTTCCGCACAGCGATATTTCACCGCGCGATTTTTTTCTCGTAATTTTTTTTTTATTTTTTTTATATGAAACTTCGTTCATATCCGGTGTCCCACGACACCACACATCTTATCGCCGGATCTTCTCAGTGGGTCGCGATTCCGATCCGGTAGTAGATTCATTCGCGAAGCAATTGCTCTTGAGTTGTTAGGTCTCCTGCGGAGGCGCTCGGGCAGTTGTTAGCAAATCCCATCCCTCCTGGCTGAGCCTTTGCTCGCCCACCTGTCCTGGTGAAGCTGGAAAGGCCTCCGGGCCACCAGTAATCTTTCAATCATAAAAAAAGAAAAAACCACACATCTTTTTTTGTTAAATATCTCTCTATCAAAAGAATACCTCTCTATAAAAAATATCTAAACTTAAAAAATAAATCTCATTTTTAAAAACAATGCGCACAAAACAATTTGTCAATGTCATTTCAGAGTCTAGCATGTTTCTGTACCAAATTCAAATCTATCCGTATAAAAGTGGACCGTTAAATGAGAAATCTGTCTTCAATTATATGAATTATAAAAGTAATAAGGTTATGAGGGATTTCAAGAACATTACTGAATGTTGAATCTCTGTCCTACATACATGTTGCTAGTTATATTATCGACGGTCCATTTACTATTTCTACAAAAATTACACGCAGGCATTCCTCTGCAATAGCGTGTTATGTAATCTTCAGGCGCCTCAAGTTATTCTGTGAGTTTTTTTTACCGCGCAAACTCAGTACTGTGACATTAAAAGATTGTAATTTTTTTTAAGCATATTTTACGAGCTGTGTGACGACACGTTAAAATGATACGCTCTGAAATTTACCCCAATTTTCTATTATTTTAATTCCAATTTCGCTGTAATTCCCGAACATTCTAGAATGACGTTTTGTTTAAAGGCGGACTGTAGCTCTATTGAAAGCTTAATCTACTGTTTTTATATTAAGTATGATTTATAGATAGTCCTCATTTTCCAATTTACGATTAGCACCGTTTGTTATTTTCCGACTCCTGTGAAAATTGAGACTTTTAATAAAAGAACTAATCCAAAAAAATTGATTCCAACATAAAATCGTTCATAAAACATTTTATTAATACTATAATTGATAATTTGTGAGTATTCAATACTTTATAAGCCGTAAAAAGTAATGAGTTTCATGTGGCGTTGCACTGAAGTGGAACTCTTAGGGTTTGGTGTCAATGTTCTCATGGGATTCAAGATTATTTATTTTTATTTAATTCAAAATGTCAGGAGATTTTTTTCGGATGTCACATATCATGTGTCCATATGAGTTCGTTCTAATTATAGGTTTCGGTAAAACTGTGACTTTTTTTTCAAGTTTTTTTTTATTTTTTTTATTGCTTAGTTGGGTGGACGAGCTCACAGCCCACATGGTGTTAAGTGGTTACTAGAGCCCATAGACATCTACAACGTAGACGCGCCACCCACCTTGAGATATATGTTCTAAGGTCTCAGTATAGTTACAACGGCTGCCACGCCCTTTAAACCGAAACGCATTACTGCTTCACGGCAGAAATAGGCAGGGCGGTGGTACCTATCCGCGCGGACTCACAAGTGGTCCAACCACCAGTAATTACGCAAATTATAATTTTGCGGGTTTGATTTTTATTACACGATGTTGTTCCTTCACCGTGGAAGTGAATCGTGAACATTTGTCGAGTACGTATTTCATTAGAAAAATTGGTACCCGCCTGCGGGATTCGAACACCGTTGCATCGCTTCAACACGAATGCACCGGACGTCTTATCCTTTAGGCCACGACGACTTCAAAATAAAGTTTAAATAAAGTATATTGTGATTTTGACGAATGTGTATAAGTGTGAATGAACTATGTTGATATGCTAAATGATTGATGTGTCGAAAAAATAATAGAATTCAACTTTCGAGCTGGAAGGCTTTGGTTGTTCTATTATAAATAAATAATCGTTAACCAAACCGAACTATAAAGCCTCAGTGGATATCCGAGGAGTTGATTTATTTAATTAATTAAAAATGATATATCCCTGCGTCCGGGGTCAGTGTAATAAATAACGTCACGGGAGCTGTCATCATCCGGAGACGCCTTCTAGTAGGGTTGGAGCGAACACTTTTAATCTTTAGTAAAATAGTAATGTATATAAAAAGACGGTGTTAAGGCAGCGGTAGGTTGTTATGAGTTGTATTTTATTCATTACTAGCTGACCCGGCAGACTTCGTAGTGCCTCAATCGATAAATAAAAGACCTAAACTTTTTTTAAATAAACTTAAAACAAACAAAAGGAATCCGTCCAAAGGGGGACACATCAAAGGAAAAACAAAATTGTTATTTTTATTTACTTCCGAACATTTTCATATTTATCTACCTTTTAAACCTTCTCTGGACTTCCACAAATAATTCAAGATCAAAATTAGCCAAATCGGTCCAGCCGTTCTCGAGTTTTAGCGAGACTAACGAACAGCAATTCATTTTTATATATATAGATAGATTTTTAAGATCATTTAGTCTTCTCCTCCTCCAATGACTTTAGTAAATATGCTTGCGGTCTTAAAATCATGTAATTAAGAGTTTAGAAAGAAAGCTGAATTTATTTAAAAGTCATTGAATAAAAAATGTTACAATTCTTTATCCCTTTGTAAGTTTCTGTCTCATTTTTTATACATAAAACTGAGTATTCCGGATAAAATGTTTCTTAGCCTGATTCGGTGCACCCTTCGGACATAATCGATCAGACAATCAAATGGGTAGACCAAATAAATAAAAATAACTTTAGATAAGTATGATGTCGAAAGAAAAATGATGATTAAAATGGATGCACTTGCACTTTTGAAGTCAACTACTTATCTAGATGCCGCGGTATGAAAAGCTTGTAATCATGATAAAATTGGTGGATCTATCAAGGTATCTTTAAAATAATTAGTTTTAACAAAATGTATGCTTATTGTAGGAAGTGTTATAACATAAACTTATAACCACTACCCTCAGACTTGAGGGTAAAGTATATAATAAAAGGTATAGTTCTGTTAACCCTACGTTCTTTTGTATCTTAGGGTGGTACACCCATAATAATTATTGTAATGGTCAGCTGGTCAATTTTAATTATTTGATTACAGATGTTTCTGATAATACATATTGAGTTTTTGATAATATCACGTAATTAAATTTCCGTTAATGTTGTCTTCACGCCATTACTGTCTCGGGAAAGATAGAGAATATTAAATATTGTAGTCACATAAAAATAGTTTTCTATTAGCTACATAATGGGTTCGTACAACTGTATTGTTTACATACTTATTACACTGCACTTTTCACATTACAATACTTAACTTTTGGCCCTGGCATTGCTGACGTCCTTGGGTAGCAAAAGCTGGATGAGAGAAGCCGAGGATCGTGGCGGGCAGTTAGAGAGGTCTATGTCCAGCAGTGGACTGCTATAAGACGATGATGATTATGATGGGTGACGGTAACCACTCACCATCGTATACTCATCTGCCTTAAAGGGCAATAAGGAAATTGCCCGGAACTTATCAGGCGATCCAGGTTGAAGGAGATTCGTATTTTCAATAAAGAGAGAGGTTCAGAGGGCGGTTGCCTTTTCGTTGCTATCAAAGAGAGAATAGCAGTCAGTTCACTCTATGATAAGTAGTTACAGCCGCCTCTGACCACTGGGACTATTGTTTTTTTTTCCTTACTTAAGCTGATAGCCTTGAGAGGCTATGTCAGCGTAACTGGGCGAGTAGGTGAGCGCATGGGGCTCAAATTGGGAGTGTTGCTAACGTTGGCAAGAGCAGTGCTTTGCAGAATCTACCACCAGATCGGAAACGCGACCCATTGGGAAGATCCGGCGAGAAACTCAGTGGGCTGATCGAGCTATTGGTATTGCCAAGCTACTGTCTTTTGTAGTCTATCTATCTATATATTATATAAAATGAAGTGCTGTTCGTTAGTCTCGTTAAAACTCGAGAACGGCTGGACCGATTTGGCTAGTTTTGGTCTTGAATTGTTTGTAGAAGTCCAGAGAAGGTTTAAAAGGTAGATAAATATGAAAATGCTTGGAATTAAATAAAAATAACAATTTTGTGTTTCTTATGACCCCCGTCGGACGGATTTCTTTTGTTTGTTTTAAGTTTATTTTATGCAAAATTTTAAGTCTTTTATTTATCGATTGAGGCACTACAAAGTCTGCCGGGTCAGCTAGTTAGAAATAAATTATAACCTATAAAATTTTCATTCCTTTCAGGTACAAAATATATATGAAATGTACTACGAGCCGCTCCAGCTTAAAGTGCAAGAACAGTGACCGTTTCTGACATCAGTGCGTGTGTGTTGTGACGTCATCGGACATGTGTGCGTGCGTGCGTCTGTTGATGTTGGCCGCGCTACCGACGCTTGCCGGTGAGTTGATATTATAACAAATCTTTATCTGCGTGTATGACTTCTTTTAGCGTATTAATCGCAACATTATTTTTTTATTTTTTACCAGTTACATTAAGTTAATCTTTTAAATTAGTAAGTTAGTCTTTTAAATTAAGATAAAATTATGTATTAATTTTGTTAATACTACGCGTAGTCAAAACATAGGAAAACTAAAAAAAAAAAAAACTAAAACTGAGTTACGTCTTTAGAGAGGATCCGGATTCTTTAGAGAAGATTTTGACAGTATTGATGAGAAAAATACCGGTGATACCAAATGTTTGCGCATATTTACTCAATTTCGAATATTTTTGGAAATTGTACACTTTTAATGCGAAAAGGCGATATGTCAAGTGGAAATACTCAAATGCTGATTTTTTAATGGATTAGATGCCAGAGCCGGTAGGTAACCATTAAAAGTCCGGCAGTAGTTGGCTCACAAGTACAAAAGGCAGTAGGTAGCAAAGAAAAGTAGCTGTGTATTATTTTTGGTGTTCATTTAATTTAGATCCCAGAACATTAGAGCTTCATTGTGAAAGTCATCCGGGATAGAATAAAAGGAAAAACCAGCTTGCTCTAAAATCGAACTGTGTTATAAGTAATAATAATAACAATATCCTGATGGTTATAGGTAATAAACCCGAAATGTGCTCTTTTGAGACACTGGGTTCATATACATAGCCATGTACCTGGAGCCTCAAAGCAAAGCAGATTTATGAGTTAAATGTTTAAATGTTTTAATAATTTTGCTAATTTTAATTTTAATTTTACTAACATAGTTCTAAGTATTACTCTACTTACAACATAAGGACTTAAGATGGTCTGAATTATGTTTTTTTTTTTTATATAATTTTTTATATGATTAAATTATAGAGATCTGTCTTTCTGCGCATATCAAGCGCATCGATTCCTTATCATGTTTTTCGTTTTTAAAGCTGTCAAGCATTTTTGAATCGCCTATGATTTTGTTATGATTTAATATTATAAAAATGAATTAAACTACTTATAGTCTTAAGGAAAAAGTAGCGATCGAAATCAAACAGACCTAGATTCGTTCAGCCGCAGGTCAGTTTTGGTTACGCCATTTTTTATTACTGCTGTAAGTCGATATTACGTTTCGGCTTAAAGGACCAAGTTGCCTTTTTGCTTTGACTTCATGTTTCACGATCCACGCTTGTTTAGCATACCGTCGTCTCACTGTCTTTTACATTTAAAACAGGTGAAGGAAAGAAAAAAAAGAACCAATTGATAAAACTAACAGAACTCAGTTTAATGAGTGATTTCAAAAATAAAATTATTAGTAAAAAATTCATACTAAAATAATCAAGAGCATCTGTAAAATCAATTAGATAAAATTGTATAAAAATATCAAACTGAACTAGCACTTTTTTGTTGCTTAGATGGGAGGACGAGCTCACAGCCCCCCTGGTGTTAAATGGTTACTGGAGCCCATAGACATATACAACGTAAATGCCGCCACCCACCTTGAGATATGAGTTCTAAGGTATAGTCTAAGTATAGTCACAACGGCTGCCCCATCCTTCAAACCGACCGTGCAGACTCACAAGAGGTCCTACTGCCAGTAACTTAATTTCAATTTCTTTTTCTGTCGGTACTGATCAGAATGTTAGAGCAAGTTTATAAAATTATTGTGTTTTCAACGGTTCTGGCTGCGTGTACTAATTTTCAAATTAATTGGACGTCGGTGCAAATTGCGTTCAGAGATTCCATTACCAACAAAAAAAAAACACCAAGCTAATAAAAGCCTGTTAACAAAATACGCTGAGTCCAAGAATCTTCAACTTTAAGTTGATTCATCATTTTTAAAACCGTTCCCTACGGATGGCTAACACCTATTGCTTTAGAAAGTTCACTGGCAACTGGAGAGGTCAAACATTAATTAGATTAGTTAATGGAGTCGTAAAGTTGTAACGTTGATCACTGCTGTTGGACAGTTAATTTTTAACCAAGATTTGTGGCCAGAGGATACTGACATTTTAATTGACTGCACGGTTTTAATTAATAGACTAGCTGACCTAGCAGACTTCGTAGTGCCTCAATCAATAAATAAAAGACCTAAACTTTTGTATAAAATAAACTTAAAACAAACAAAAGGAATCCGTCCGACGGGGAACACATCAAAGGAAAAACAAAATTGTTATTTTTATTTAATTCCGGTCATTTTCATATTTATCTACCTTTTAAACCTTCCCTGGACTTTACGAAATTCAAGACCAAAATTAGCCAAATCGGTCCAGCTGCTCTCGAGTTTTAGCGAGACTAACGAACAGCAATTCATTTTTATATATAAAGTAGAGATGAGTATGCGTAACCGGTCCCTCAAGCTACTTCTCCTACTATCCTATTCGTCGAACTAGTCGATCAAGACGTAGAGTTCGACGAGCGAACGAGCCCATTGACACAACTCACTGAATTTCACTGGATTCCGATCCAGTGGTAGATTCTACGAAGCACTGCTCTTGCTAGGCTAGTGTTAGCAAATTCTCTCAGGTTGAGCCCGTGAGCTCACCTACCAGTCCGGGCGTAGCGGGAATAGCCACTTAGGCTACCAGCTTATAGGTAGAGAAAAAAAATTTCTACTTATGTAAGCACTCAACCTTATGGTTTGTTTTGAGGAGAGCTATAAGCACGAACATCCATCCCAATAAAATAAGAAGCAATTCCCGATGCTTATCATACGATTTTCTTCTTTTCAATCGACTTCAAAAAAGGAGGAGGTTCTCGGTTCGACACCGAATGTTTTCTTCTGTCATGGCTACCGGAAGCAAACACATGTTTAGGACGCTTACATAAAAGCGGCTCTAAATAAAATAATAAAATGTTTATTTTTATGTAGAAATGTACAATCTGTTTTCTTATGGCGGGGTTCATGGCCTCCTGGATTTTTGTAACCGCGCATGCGCGTGATGGAACCAAAGGTTTCGCCCCCCCCCCCCCCCACGGAGACAAACAAATCAGTAGCAAAACAATTTAAATTACTTATGTCCTGAATCTAACCTGCCTGTCTGATCGAATGGTATATAGTTTTACAGCGGGTGATGGAGGCAACTGTTGTGACACTAGTTTTTATTAAGTAACTAGCTGACCCGGCAGACTTCGTAGTGCCTCAATCGATAGATAAAATACCTAAGCTTTTGTATAAAATAAACTTAAAACAAACAAAAGGAATCCGTCCGACGGGGGACACATCAAAGGAAAACAAAATTGTTATTTTTATTTAATTCCGAGCATTTTCATATTTATCTGCCTTTTAAACCTTTTCTGGACTTCCACAAATAATTCAAGACCAAAATTAGCCAAATCGGTCCAGCCGTTCTCGAGTTTTAGCGAGACTAATGAACAGCAATTAATTTTTATATAATATACAGATATAAATATAGATTTATTTTGTAAAGTATCTAATTCAACGAATGCAACAAGAACAGGACCAAGATCCTTCAGTTGCTAAGGTCATCTCTCGTCCAACGAGATCTATGACAACATGACGCTATGTATGACGTGATGACTAATCGACAATAGCTTCTCGCATAACTCAAGATCTGTATTAACGCAAACAAGATTCTTAAAATATTTGCTGAGAATTCGCGAGTCATAGATTATTAGACTTTAAAATTTTTGCTACATTTTTTTTATTGTTAATGTGTGTGCACGTTGTCACGGTCCAAATAGATGGGAATTTGAATGTCGTTATCCGCCTTGAGACATGAGGTCGACGTTTTGATGCTGTTGCTTAACAGCTATTTCGTTCTTCAAGTCAGAACTCACGATTGCATTGTGACAGAAATGGAAGGATGTGGGTAATTTGTCGTGGGGCGTACAATACGGCATAGTAACCATATTGAAGGTTTGAATAAATAATATATCACGACTTAGATATTTCAAGCTTAAAATATCTCCTCTTTTTAAATAGTAGGTAATTTTTTGTTATTATCATGTTTATTTGTATGCGATCCGTGGGTTCGCGTGTCGATTTTAAGATTCAGTCTTGCTGTTGGTACTTCAGGTAAGTTTGCCGGCCTGGTTTTATGCCCCTGGCATTGCTGAAGTCCATGAGCGACGGTAACTACTCACCATCAGGTGGGCCGTATGCTCGTCTGCCTACAAGGGCAATAAATAATAAATAAATAAAAAGTATTCGAGTTGGTGTGAGTAGTTTCGACAAATGGATTTTTCGCATATTTTACGACAATCACATTGAAGCGTTGCCAACATTTACTAGTTAAGCTAAACTTCAAATAAATAATAGCCTTGTCGTTTTGTTGTACTCAGATTTACAGCAAAAGTGAGAGTAGATTAATGTCAATATCGAAATACACTCGATTATTACATCAAAATGAATCAAAGGAAACGCAGCGTTGGCGCATTAGCGGTATTATAATATATTGTAAAAATGAATATTTAAAAAACAAGTCTAAAATAAAAAAATAAATATATTATTTAAAAAAAGACATGCCCGCTGAGTTTCTTGCCAGTTCTTCTCAGGACGGAGGCTAGTTTTTGTGATTTGGCGGTAGTTCTTTTTGACGTTCAACAAGTCTCTACTTTCATTTATCTATACTATCTATACTTCTATACTAATGTTATAAATAGGAAAGATTTGTTTGTTTGTTTGTATTGAATAGGCTCCGAAACTACTGAACCGATTTGAAAAATCCTGTCACTGTTTGGAAGCTACACTATTCCCGAGTGACATAGCCAATAATATTTTTTGGAAAAAATTAGGGATCCTTACTAAAATTTCAATAATGTAACCCACGGTGTAAAAAAATTACCTAACATATTCTTTACATCGCGTGCCCTGCGAAAACTATTGATTATAGAATAAAATAATATACTACCACTTTGTAGAACACATTATTATTTACAAAAAATATCGCGACAGCATATGTCTAACTATTATAGTTATGCCGCAATAAGTGTTCTTTTATTTTAAAAAATAAAAAAAACGTCAAATATCGTTG